CCATAGCCTCCCCCCGGACCTCCCTCCCTGCACCACTGCTGCCTGCTCCAGTACAGCTCAGCCCAGTCCCCTCCAGGAAGAGCCTGGCACAGCCCCTGGCCCCAGCCTGCAGGAGCAGCCTGGCCTGGCCTTCCCCACGTGCAGATCCGTGGGGCACCCCCCCATGCCCTCCTGGGGTGCTTGCAGTGGCAGGAGCCACCCCCCTGGCACCCCCTGTACAAGCCACAGCTCCATCCCATGCCCTGCCCTGCCGCAGCCCCTGTGTCACTCCCTCCCTCACCACTGGAGTCTCAATCTGCTGCCCCCCCCACAACCCTTCCCTTCCCCATCCTCTTGCACTACAACAGACTTACCAGCTGGACACTGCTCTTCAAGCTGCTGGGCTGCATATCGGAAATCAGATCGGTATCAGCCGATATGCCCCCTTAAAACTCAGCTATCGGTATCTGCCCAAAAAAATCTCGATCGGTGTACCCCTAATATTATCTCACCAATACAGGCAAAGAGACGGTCTCAGTCTTGTCAGCTTCTCAAGGCGACGATCCATTCACCAGAAGATCAGCTGGGCACAGTAGTAGTTGTCAGAATGATTTCTCAATCTTGAAGCGTGCCCTGTTAGCTGTTTTGTTCCTCTTTTATACCATTTAGCTCAGCATCTTCAAAGCATTTCTTGCAGTTGTGTAAATCAAGAGAGAAACCCAAGCAATAATTAACAGGAAAATCCTGTTAATCAAACTCTTCATTATTAGGTATCAGAAAGTCCCAATTTTGATTGAATTCCCTTCTTCAGTAACAGGAGGTTATCAATTTTTACTGAGTTGGAACATATTGAGAAACTGTTTAACAACTGGGAAAAATGCAGTTTTTGAGGAGTTGCCCTTGGAAGATCAAGGGAACCACTGTGGCAAAACAAAATTAAATCAGGAGGCACCTATGAAAACCCATATAGAGGATGTCTCTTCCTGCACATAAACGTGAGTTAATTGCAAAGAAATATTTATTATAATAATTAATTAAGGATAGACATTTCACACAGTCACATACCAGACACATAGGAGCCTGCTTAAAATCATCATAGATATAGTGAGATAAAATGGAAGTAGTCCATGGGAGTGTCTTCTCATGAACCCAAAGGGACAGCCTTCCATCTTCAGCTCCCTTTGTGCAAAAATGAAGTTTATTTCCCACCTACGGAGACTTTTTACCATTGTGTACCATCTATTCTTTTCCCAGAGCCTGACAAAAAGACTTTGATCCTGAAAACTTGTAAAAAGGGACAATTTTCTTGTGATTTCCCAATTGGTCTAATAAAAGGTATCATTTTGGAACCAAGAGTTCTAGTTTTTGGTATGTCTTCTTATCTCAGATCAGCATGGCTACCAAGTGCACCCCTGAAGTATGCCTCATTATTTCTTTTCAGAAGGTCCAGATACAAAATTGCATCCTCTTGCACTATGCAGTTGTAATCGGTATTTTGTATTTTAACATTTGTGAGTAGGCCCAGCTCAGCTTAAGCTTCACACTCATCAGCACCCATCCCTAAATTTTGCAGGGTGCTGGAGAATTTTCCTTCTGGTGCTGATGTACCCTGTGGCACAAGGCTGGGAGGCCCAGGCTGGCCACTATTTCTGCAGCAGCCTGTCTGTTCACACCGTCTTGTACCAATGCAGAGACCAAGTGGGGTGTGGAAGAAAGCCCAATGAGAGAAGTTTCTTTTGCTGTGTGTGTGTGGTACCTGCCCCTGCTAGCCAGCACAGCCATCAGCTGCTGTTTGTAGAACGCAAGCCATGTTGCATCATGCCTGGTGGAGCTGCTGGCTGGTTGCATGTCCAGCCTAGAAACAGTTGCACAGAGAAGAAACTCCAAACCTTGCTACTAGCAGAGCATGCCTGCCTTGTTTGGCATGTCCTGCAGGAGGCCTGGACAGTACAGCTGAAGTAGGGAGGGGCCCTGAGCTCTCTGCCCTGCTTCCATTCACCTCACTGCATTTTCATGCATGGAAGAGAGACGACCTCAGATCAGAGAGTGGGTGGGTGGGTGGAAGTGGGGTGGATCAGGAAGGGCAGTAAGGGGGAGGGGGGCAGAGAAAACAGGTACCAGCCAGAATAGATTAACAAAACAGGTGATAAGGTACAGAGGGGCTGAGCCTGGGGGCTTGCAAAGTAGGGGACAGGCAGATTTTAGGCACTGCATCTCAGCCTCTTGGCAGTGCCCAATGCTACTCTCATTTTCTGATACAGGAAAAGAGCCTTGGGCTTGAGCTGGGTGTGTGTCTGAGGCTGAAACTCTGTGGGCTTGGGATGGTGGGGGTATGTCTCACTTTCTTTATGCAGGTTTGAATGGGCAGTGGAGCTGCAGGACTGTGGCTGGCCCAGATGCCTTTCTTTGGACCTTGCTGGGGGGAGCTGAGGTCCCTGCTTGGAAGGTCCCTGTGCCTCTGCTTCCCTTGCAGAGGCCCTTAGCACAGGGCAATGAGTACAGCTGCCTGTACAGGCCTCAGCTGTTTGGAGCCAAGTGCTTGTTTCTAGCCTGCTGTGCAGCAGGTCTCGCTGCTGCCTGCAGGACCCTATTTCTAGTTCTGCAGCTCCCTGGGCCTGGGCAGATGGGAAGAGACCCCACCCCACCCCCTGCACCAAGTGGCTGGCTGGGGAGGGGAAGGAGCGGTGGCACTCTGCATAGGGGTCTGTGCAGAGCTAGGGAGTAAGGAGCGGTGCCCCTCTGCATAGGGGTCTGTGCAGAGCTAGGGAGTGCTCCTCTGAACGTGATAACCTTCACATTGCTGCTGACTGACAGGGCTGGAGCAGACAGGTGCAGGGACTGCAGTGTGCCCAGGCAGATGTCAGCCTCCCTGGCACAAGGAAGACTCCTGGACTCTCCCATTGACTGAGGAATGTGGTAAGTAGTCTAGGTCACCGTGTGGTGAGGATCACAGACACACTCCTTGCACCCACACACCTGTGGTACCAGGGAAGGTGCTGGCACCATGAGTCGCTAGTGGCCCTCAGCTTGAGGGTGTTCACTGCCTGCTGTACTCTGCAGAGAGGCAGCTGTGTTCAGAGCTGAGCTATAGGAATCTGATCTGAGCTGGGCCCAGAAAACTGCCACCCCAGGCCAGCCTCCCTGCTAGTGGGGAGGATCTCTCTAGCTGCCATTTCACTTCCTTTCCCTGCCTGCTTCCCAGCAGCCCTAGGGTCCCATTTGGCTAGGTGTCCACAGAGGGAGAGCTGCCCACTGGTGCTAGAGTCAGGGTTGACAGCAAGGTATAGTGCTGCCAGCTCCCTTCCTGCCTGCCTGCCGGACTGAGCTGGCTCCCTTCCTGCTGGGGGAGTTGCTTGGCATAGGAAGGCTGAAGTCACAGGAGGAGGGGAGAGGGAGGGATCGAGTGAGCAGGCAGCAGCACCAGCTCCAGCTTGTCCAAACTTGTTCTGCATCAGGCCCTGCCAGCCTCTCCCTGCGGACACAGAAGAACAGCCCTAGTCCCGCAAGCTCCCAGGTAGTTCCCGCAGGTGAGTGCAGTACTCCCTCTGCTTCCCCCTGCTGCCAGGATCCAGGGGGGGTTAAGAAGGCAAGTGAGGGGATCCTGCCTCTCTGTTCAGTCCCTGGCCTGTTAGAGCATGACTGGACACCAGGGGCGCTGGTCTGAATCTGTTGTTTTGGTCAGGATTGGTCTGCCCTGGGACTGACTGAAGGAGTGAGACTCCCAGTTTTCCTGTCCTGGAAGAAATCCTGGGTCAGGAGCAAATGATAATTGCTGTGCCACCTTGTCCCTCTCCCTGTATCCCTGCCTTTCCAATGCCTCTCTTGCTTTGCTGGGTACCAGACCAGTTGGACAAACTGTGCCCCTCCCTCCTGTGTGCCACCTTGCCCTTTGTACCTGTGAGGCTTATACCTGCTTACCTGACCTTGTTGCTACTACCTGTGCTGAGGCAAGGCTTCCCCAGAGGGGCAGGTGAAAAGCTGGCCAGACCCTACTGCATTCTGCTCTGCAGGTGTACTTCTGTCCTATTTGTACACAGTTGCATGTAATGGGGTTCATGACACACACATGTTCATATGGAGTCCTGTGGAGCTCCAGAATGTGAATAATGACTGCAGGGCATGGTAGGGAGGGACAAGATTGGAATACATTGACTCTGTGCATGTGCACATATGTGTACACACACACACACACACACACACACACACGGCTGGGAGGGACCTCAGGAGGTCAGCCAACCAATTCCCTTCCTCCAAGGCAGGCTCGGGTGTACCAAAACCTTTCTTGATGGATGTTTGTCTACCTTGGCCATAACAAGCTCTAGTGAAGGGGGTTCCACCACCTTGCTCTGTAGTCTTTCTGCATCACAGCTAGAAGTATTTTTCTCATATCCAGCCAAAACCTCCCTTGCTATGAGTTAAGCAAATTTCTTCTTGTCCTGCAGCGGACCTAGAGAACACTTGATCACCATCCCCATCCTCTTTCTAACAACCTGGTGCCTATTTAAAGATAGTTACCACTCCCCATTCATCTTTTTTCTAGCCTAAATACACTCAATTCTTTCACCTCCTAGATGACATTTTCCAACCGTCTTAATCATTTTTGTTGCTGTGCTCCAGACTCTCCAGTTTGTCCTCATGTTTCTTGAAGCATAGTACTCAAACCTGCACACAGCAGAGGCCTTGCCAATGCTGAGTGAAGGGCAGTAGTACCTCCTGTGGTCCTGTCTCCGATACCCTTGTTTAGTACCTCTTAGAACGACATCTGCCTTAGTCTGCAGCAGCTTCGCATAGCTGACTCCTTATTCAGTCGTGGGCTGCTCTGATTCCCAGATCTTTTCTGCAGTATGGATGCCTTGCCATTTAGTCCTCATTTTGGTTTTCTATGTTTAATTCCCTTCCAAGTGCCTTATGGATTGAATCAAATGATGTCTCCAAGGCAGAATTCCTCTTTATTTTGCAGTGTGCCAGCACTGTGTTGCTTTGATTTAGTGCAGGCAAATGAAGCCAAGAGAGAATTTGCAGCAGAGGATTGCTAGGTGACCAGCTGGATTCAATTTACCTTTGGGACTGAAAGGAAGGGCTACATTGGAGCTGTTTTCATTTCTCCTTTCTGCTGCGGTGGGAAGAAAAGGCCCTCTACTCATGGACCATCCTTTGTGGGGTTAGGCTGCCTTGTCTCTGGCTTTCCGTATGTTTTGTCTTAAGTAAACTGGGGGAATCCTTGGAAACGGTTTCTGCAGATTGCTCCTGCAATCTTTACCAAAGAGAACTTTTCTCCAAAGTGTTTGTTGAGTGTTTGAAATAAACACATTTAATGATGACAGCGGCATTTAAAGGAGTCGATAAAAGTCTTCTTTACTTCCCATTAGTTGGATTTTGCTTCCTTGGTTATTCTGCCACTTTGCAGGTGGTCCACAGAATCTTTCAGGGTTGTATCCACTACTTTTAGGAGCTGTCATATGTTTTTAATATTAGAATAATTCTGAAAAATCTTTCAGGCTTTATTTATGCACTTGACAAAGCAAAACTGGGCACAACGAATCATCTTTTCCTTTTAAAACCTCCTAAATAGGCCCTTGGTCAAGAAGGAAACCTGCTTTGCATGATGCCAGAGAGAACCTGTAAGGGAAGCTGTTCTAGCTAGTCAAAGGACAGTCCTAGCTAGCTATTTGTTGTGTGGGATGTTTTGTTTGTGAGGATATTATGGCTCTAGCTTTGGAATGCTGTATATTCATGTTGGACACTTTTTGTTGAGTTGCAAATAGAGGTGAATAAAATCTGAAAGTTTAACTCAGGTCAGCTAAGCTGAGTCTAGTGCGGGTGCTTCCTGGACTCAGCTAGGTACTGCAGTTCACAAGGGGTGCATACTTGTGGCTTTGGACAGCTGGGTTGTGATCAGCATTTAAAAATTCTTTAAACAGGTTTCTCCTTGGATGTGTTCAACTGTATTATTGCTGTGCTTCAAAACTACCATGGGTTGATTGTTCTCAAGCAGTAGGGCTCTTCATATAGCTAAGTGAGGAGTGTTAGAAACTAGTGTTGTAGGATCTACTTTTAACCAAGTTGAAACAATGTGGGTTTCAGTCTTGATTCTCAAACTAGTGTGGACAGGTATTTAGAAAGAATGAGAGAGGCCATGAGCAGCAGAGAATGGGGCATCTGATCATCATCTTCCTTTCTCTGGAATAAAGACCTGTTCATGTTCCAGACCAATGCAAAATGGGGATTCTCTGGGCCCCTGGCAGAAGGTAGATAGCAGCTCAGGAAGTATTGGGAGATCTTAAAGAACAGTCCTTAGCTATTTAATGCAGTCCCTGGCAGACAGAGGAAAAGGCAGACTGGGGTTCTCCCACCATGCACTGTGCCTTATGCCAGTCCTGACAGCCAAGGCCCAAGGAACAAAGAGGAGTTTGGATGGCCAGGTAGCCCTTGACTACCCGAGGTGGGGAAAAAGCCAGGTAGGACTGGCTGTTCTCCAAGAGGAAACGTATCAGCCTCTGTTCAGGAAAGAGAAATACAAGCTAGATGTTTGAGCATGGGCTGACGCCTGAATGTTGGTCATGCCTACCTATGACAGCTGTTGATTCTTGAGCAGCTGCTTTGGGTTTTTCTCTCTGTGGTAAGAGAGCACATGCAAAGACATGAGGCCAAAACCCAAGACAAAACAGTCATGCTAGCCAAAAACCACCTGGACTCTTTTTGTCCTGCAGATAGGGAAGTGATGGCCTTGGAGGTTACATGCCAAGGGCTGTTGAGGCCCAGGTTGGAGAAGGGCCTAGGGCCAGTTCCACAAGGCTCCAGACTCTTGGCTTGGTTTGTCCTTGTGATTGCTCCCAAGAGGGGTGAAACGTAACTGGTGGAGCTGACCCAAGTGCAGCTCTGGCAGGCATGATACCAGGGAGTGACTTGACCACTGATTCCTCACTTGTACTGGGATCTGTTGAGGTACACAAGGTTGGGAGGGGGAGGATGGGACAGGATGACAATTGTGCCAGGAAATAAGGAGTTGACTCAGATGCTTCCTCTGAAAGAGCAGGTAATGGGAAAGACTCTGCAGTCCAGCTAGAAGAGCACTAGCAAATGTGAGTTTTCATACAGTTGCTTAGTGTCTATCTCTAAGCACTCCTCACAAGTCAGTGCGCTGAAACTTCATACTTCCCCTCTTGGAGGTGGGGAAAGGCTTTTCATTCCCATGTTGTGGGTGGGAACAGTTGCAACATGACTTGCTTGCACGAAGTTGCAAGGTTGAGTTGGTGGCAGTTCAGATCTCCAGACCCCCAGCTTTTGCCTTGACTGCCAGTGCCTCTATCTTCTCTGTCCATGGCCCTACAGATCTCTTGATGTTCTCTCCTACCATTAGTTTAGATTGAAGCTGTGTCTAGGTGTTGTGCAGACTGCTGGGTTGTGGCAGAGATTGAACCTCTTGCCTTCCATTTTGCCTTCACGGGGAATAAATGGCTCGGTACAGTCTAATGGTGGCCCCAATTCTTGTTGCAGCAGCCTGATTGTTACCTGAAGGGAGCCATGGCCCCAAAACGCAAGGCAGCTACCAAGGCTCAAGCAGTAACCAAGGGCAAGAAGGTGAAGCCAGAGCCAGAGCCAGAAGTGGACAGCTTCCACTCCACTGTGGAGGCACTGAAGAGAGCACCCAAGGAGAAGCTTAAAGCCAAAATTGACTCTGCCTGTCATCTGAGCAGTGCCAGTGATGCCCAGGTAAGAGAGGAGTTACCTGGATTCATGTTCCCCTCTGGCACAGTCAGGAGGCAGAGACACCTTTCTGCTTCACCTGTCTAGATGTTGTCCTTCAGAGGGCTTCTTTCTGCCCTGGAGGGGAAGCTCCCTCCCTTGGAGAACTTTGGCTTTGCATTCCTGGGGGCTTTCGCTCCATGTGAATCTGGAGGCACACTGGCAAAGTTGACAGGAGGCTGCTCCCCCTCTGTGCCCAGCAAAAGCCCTGTCAGCTCACCTTTCTCCTCAGGACAGGCCTGGGGGACCCCTCCCTGTTAGACCCTAGAGCAGTGCAGTGTCCATCCTCACTTCTGCTGAGTGGATGCCGTGGTACTTTGGATTTAGATTCACGAGGATTACGAGTGCACGCTGAACCAAACCAACATTGGGCACAACAACAACAAGTTCTACATCATCCAGCTTATTGAACAGAATGGCGCCTACAGCTGCTGGACCCACTGGGGCCGTGTGGTGAGTATTTTCCCAAGCACCTGCCCCTTCCATGTGACAGGGCCTCCCCTGCCCACCCATCAGGGGAAGCTCCTCTCTCTGACCAGGAGGTTTCTATTAGGGGTGATGCGGTCTTTGCTCACCCATGCCAGTACTGGGGTGTTAACACTTGTCCAGCAGTTGGTCTCCATGGTGCTGGCAGCTCCTCTAGTCTGGGTCCTCGGTGCTTCATTAACAGGTTTGACTTGCCAGGTCCTTATACCTGCAAAATGGAATTCTTCCTTGAACTTCTTTTTCAGCTCCCGGTCTCTCCTGGCTGTGTCTGCAGAGCTGGCTGCTCATCTGTCTTGGTTCCCATCAGATAATGCTAAAGCACCCGCCACCACTGGGTTGCTTTATCCCGTGGGACTGAGCATGGCTGAGTCTTTCCAGATTTGCATCTGTTGTTCTTTTTCCCCATGCAGGGCTCATCTTCTCGTGGGCCATGTGTTTTGGAACCTGTCCTGGATAATCATCTTGGCAGGGAAACTGCTCTGTCCGGGAAATGGAGAGAGAGAAGTGTTGAGTCACACATTGTGACTCGACCTCTCATCCTCTTGCCTTCCCCCATCCTTAGAGGCAGATCATGGCACTGTCATTCCCCTCCCCCCAGGAGATCATTGGCATTGGCCCACAGTCACCAACAAATCAGGCCCTTGGCCACTGGGATAACACCCCCAGGAGTTTTGGTCAGAGGGGATACAGCATGCTGTTCCCACCCCTCCACACAGACCAGGAGAGAGGGACCAAAGCAGCAGAGCATTTTGCCAAAGCATGGGAGGTACTGCAGTGGGGGAGTTGGCTGCCTTCCTCATGGCAGTCACAGCCTGGTTGCTTCAGTGGTGAGCTCTGCTAAACAGGGACCCTCGTGAGCTCAGCACCCTGCTGCGGGGAAGAGGGAGGATAACAGACATTTGGCTGCAGTGCTAGCCACGAATTGTTGCTTTGGAGCTATTGCCTCACGCTAGGAACTCCCTTCTCAGGCAGAAAAGTTGCTGCTGCTGCCACCAGAGAGCCAGTTGCAGCCCAGGCCATTCATTGTCATCATGAATGCTGCTTGTCTGAGTGCCTGGAGCCCAGCTGCCTCAGGGGTGTGTGTGTGTGTGTGTGCGCGCACATGCCCATGAGTGCTGCGAGATTCCCCCACCTCATCAGCTTGCCTCCGGTCACAGGCCAAACCATGCTGCTTGCAAATGCATGAGTCATTTCCAGGCCTCCTTGACACATTACCAGGAGCCCTCAGGCCAGGTTTCTTGACTTTTCAGAGCTCTGGTCACAACTTCTTTATGGGTGCTGTTTGAATTCCCCGGCAGAAGAGACCTAACTGGCCTGTCCTGACAGTTGAGCAGGACAATGAAGAAAAGCATGCAAACGCCAGGTGGTGGTTGGGGCAGGGTCAGCTGGGTTTGGCCTGAGCACTGCATTTCCAGGCATTTGAAGGGTTTTTCTTATAGAACCATAGCTTTAAGTCTGCAGCTCTCCCAGAGTCCAGGTTTGGTCTTGGCTTTTTTCTGGAGCCTTCCAGGGAGCTTAGTTGGGTCTCTTGAAGCCAGGCCCCACCCTTAGGAAGGCTTTGCTTCGTCTGTAGATTGCCTTATCCTTGCCCCACAGTATAGGGTGACCGTCTGTCCCAGTTGGAAATACAGGACATCCCTTCCTCCTTCCCTTCCAAGTCAGCGGCTGGCTGCAGGGAGAGATGGAGGTGAAGCGGCATGCTGTGACAGGTGATCTTCCTGGGGTACTGTGCTGCTGGACCATACCCTGCACCCAGGACTAGCCTCCAAAATCTGGGACTGTCCTGGGAAAAAACAGGATGGTGGTCACCCTACTTGGCAAGGACTCACGTGGGCGCATGCCGCCTCTCGTAAGAATACACTGTCCCCCCATGGCATGGTCCCTCACCCCTTGGACCGAGTCATTTGTTCTCTCTTCTCAAATGGGCCTGCTTTCCCTCAGCCTGAGTCTCCTGGTCTCTGCTTTCCTCTTTGTGGTGGTTCAGTTTGGGGCTGTGGGGAGCTTGCAAACAACTGTGGATACATGAATGCCTCCCTCATCCCCCATCAGAGGTAGGGAAAATTAACTTTTTCCCTCAGAGTAGCCAGAAAAACTGGGCACTAGAGCACAAGTGTGGCTCTGAGATGAGTCAGTTCAATTTTGGCAAAGCTGGAGATGCAGATGAGTCCAAAGCCAGCATGGGGGGAGCTAGGTCTGCTGGAACTGGCACCCCTGCACGCTGCAAGGGGTGCAGCAGGCAGCAATTCTGGGTCCCGAGTGAGCAGTGTCACCTTGTTGCCCCGGTCAAGTGGGGAGTAGCATGCTGGGTCCTGCAGTCCCTACAGGCTGCAGCCATGCATTGGAAACCGTGGTGCCTGTGGCTGCACAATACAGTTCAGCTGCCAGCCCCAGTCGAGGGGAAAGTCCTGGGAAAGGGCAAAAGGAGACAGCTGAGCCTGACCCTGCTCCCTTCCACCTCTCCTAGGGAGAGCCAGGCCAGTCCAAGCTCACCAGCTTCCCTTCCCTGGAAACAGCCAAGACGGACTTTGAGAAGAAGTTTAGGGAGAAGACCAAGAACAGCTGGGCCGAACGGGAAAACTTTGTGGCCCACGCTGGCAAGTACACGCTGATCGAGGTGCAGCCTGGGGATGAGGAGGGGGAAGTGTCTGTGAAGGTGAGCAGTGCACATGGGGTGGGTTCACCAGCTGTTCCCACATTGGGTCAACTGTGTTTGCCTGAGGCAGCATGGACCAGGGTGTTGTGTGCCCAGGGCTTGCAGGGCTGGCTTGGCATTGTTAGAGAGATGGAGAGCAGTGTCCCCCCCCTCCCCACCCACCCCTGCTGTGCAGTCACAGTGTGGGGCTGTATTGCCAAGGTCTTGCCACAAGTGTCACTTCATCTGTGGGAGCAACAGGGTGAGGGGGGGACTTTGCCTGCACAATGCCTAAACAGGCACCTTTGTGGTTGGCTCTCAATGCAACAGCTCATCCCCATGGCTGCTGGAGTGAAGGAACCCTGTATTAGTGGTCCTGTAACCTTGGGCTGTTTCACACCAGAGATGGTCACCGCTGGGGAGGGCAGTGAGCTTGGGGGTGGAGTGTGTGCGCGGAGGGGATCTTCCCCACACAGCTAGGCTGCTTGGTCCCATTGGGTGGGTGGGAAATTCTTGCTGTGTGTGTGTGTGTGTGTGTACGTGCACGTGTGCAAAAGAGTGCTCTTTTGCCAGTCTGGCCCTGGGCTGTCTCCTGTCCTCCCCAGGTAGACAGTGTGGATGGAGAGAAGAGTTGCTTGCAGAAGACACTGCCCTGTACTCTGAACAAGGCCACCCAGGAGCTGATGTCCCTCATCTTTAGCAACAACATGTTCAAAGAAGCCATGCAGACCATGAACCTAGGTACAGCCTAGGGGAGTGGGCCAGGGTCCCCAAGGGGCCCCACACCCCAAAGGGGTGGGGCACTGCTAAAGGGTGGCATGAACTGTCCCTGGGGCCAGGCTGCTGCTCTGTAGCTCATGCTGCGATGGGATGTTGGGCTGTGATGCTGCCACCACTCAGCCAGGGCCAAGTTCTGGCACTGGTGAGCCCAAGCACAGTGCAGGAGGTGGGTGTGGTGCCCTCTGCCTAGAGGGCCTGCGTCACAGAACTGCATGATGTTTGGATATCCATTCAGGAGCTGTCTGGGACTAGAAGAGCTGGGGGCAGCTTCACCCCAGATTGGGAAGCATGGGCAGGGGGATGTTTGAGGGTCCCCAAAGCTGGAATTGGAGGGTTGATGAGGTTTGGATGAGATGAATTAAAGTGAGACACTGCTCTTTCCTCCATGCCTCAGAGGAAGGAGTCTGCAGTGCAGGCCCCTCAGCTGGGAGGCTGGTGGAAGTTAGAGGGATCCTAGGAGCTTCTCTCATGTGGCAGAGAAACTCCCAACCTTTGCAGGCTGCTGGGGAGATGTCAAGGCCTCTGCCTGATCTCGAGAGCTTGTGCGAGTCATTCGCCAGCAGGAGGGTGTGGGGTGGGCATGGGTGGAGTGCTCGGGCCCCGACTGACTTGGCTCATCCCATACACCCGTGGCTGCCTGCCTCCTGCAGATGTGAAGAAGATGCCACTGGGGAAGCTGAGCAAGCAGCAGATTGCCAAGGGCTTTGAGGCCCTGGAGGCCATTGAGAAGGCCCTGCAGAAACCGTCCCAGCCTTACAGGCAGCTGGAGGAGCTGTCTTCCCACTTCTACACCATCATTCCCCACAACTTTGGGCGGGCCCGACCCCCTTCCATCAACACACAGGAGGTCCTCCAGGCCAAGAAGGACATGCTGCTGGTAAGGGTCCTCTGCATGGGTGGGATGACCTCCCCCACATCTCCCACAGGGCTGCAGCCTGGTCTCTGTGCAGCCAAATAGGGGCTGCCTTGTGGGGGGTGTCAGCGGTTTGCATGGCTCAGAGGAGGGCAAACTCGTGCAAGGCTGGATTGACTGGGGGACAGGGAGTATGGCATTACCTGGTGTGAGGGGAACCCTTCCTGCCTGTGGCTGTCCTTGTGCCTCCTGCCCAGTGCTGTATGCAGCTGGAAGTGTCATTGGCTGCTTTGCTTTCTGGTCAGAGTCAGGAAGCACAGTCAGTGCAGGAAAGAGGCTTGGAAATAGCCATCCAGAGACTGCCCTGAAGCTGCAGTGTCCTCTTTTTGCCTGCATGTGTCTTTTGCTCCTTCAGGAGACTGGCATGTTGGGAAAGCAGTTCTGCCAGCACCCCAGTGTGGAATCTTTAGCAACTAGTCTGCTGCTTGCTGCTCTGTGGGCTGTGGCAGTAGGGACCAGCACTGCCAGGCTCCTGCCCCCAGGCCCCAGTCCTTTCCACTAATGTGTTCAGGAAAAACTTCTCTGAGCCATCAGGAGTGTAGTGCCATCTTCTCTCTAGAGACAGCCTCCTGTGAGGACCTCTGGGGCACACATGTTTCAGCTAGGTTGTGTGAGGTACTGGGACAAGCAATGGGCAAGGAACCCCCAGGATTGCTGTCCCCTTTTCCCTAAAGATGCCCCGCCGTGTGCTTCCAGAGTAAAGCTCAGGCTGGGTCTCTGCCGTGGTAGGTGCTGGCAGACATTGAGCTGGCTCAGAGCCTGCAGGCACAGAAGAAGGAGGAGGAGAAAGAGCAGGTGAAGGTTGAAGTGCCGCATCCACTGGATAAGGACTATGCACTCCTCAAATGTGAGCTCTCCCTGCTGGCACCGACATCCAAGGACTACCAGGTACAGTGGCAGCTGGCCCCATACCAGCAGGTGTAGGCAGCAGTTTGGGAGGAGAAATGTTAGTCTAGGTTGAGAGGAGCTGTGGGCATGGCTCAGGACAGGTTAGGAATACAGAGATCTGTGGGCCCCAGGAGTGCAGCAAGGATGTCTTCCCTCTACATGTCCAGGCTGGTCCTTGGAGGCCCCCCTTCCCTCCCATGAAGCCCTCCTGTTGGCTGTGCTGAACCTGGAAAGTGGGCAGGTAGCTGTTTCCTACCAGGGCACAATTCAGCCTTGTAGGCAGCTACTCAATGGGTGCCCTCCCCGTCCAGCTCTGAGAGCATGGCTGAGGGGGCCTCCAGGGAGAACCTTGAGGCTGTGGTGGGCAACCTAGGGGTGCGGGCCCTAGTAGTGGAGCTGATGGTCAAGTGTCGGGGGAGCCACAGCCTGATTAATCCCTTGTTTGGGGAGCAGCCAGTGGGTGCATGGAGTGGGGTTGTCTGGGTATTGAGGGAGCAGATGGCTGATTTAGGTGTGTCCAAGCCTTCACCAGCACCTGGCAGAAAGACCTACTTATGTGGGGCAGAGACCAGCTCCCAGCCCTTAGCTGAGAGGATACACATGGATCTTTGTGCTGGGGGTGGCTAGAGCAGTATTTGTACCCCAGGATTCACTCTATTCTCCTGCAGGTGATCCAAACCTATGTCGAGAAGACTGGTTGCACCTACCACAACCTCAAGATCCTGAACATCTGGAAGGTGGACCGGGAGGGGGAGGTGAGAGGTCTGCAGAAGACCACTCAGAGGCTGGTTTAAGAGAACTCGGAGCCTTGCTCACACACTGGGAGCAAATAGGAGCCTTTGGGATGCAGAATGTGCCTGGGAATTGGTTGCTGAGAACTGATCACCCTGCCACATAGCTATTGCTAACATGGACACAGGCGCATGGACACAGGCACATGGAAGCTCTCAGGGTGACAGCTAAACATCTGCATATGTTGCGTTAATCATAGACTGTCCTGGGTCTTGCTGGTCTGGTGCTTGCAACTGTGGTGTCCAGGAGAGCTCTATCCACCCAAGGGCTCCCAGCACAGCTGACACCAGTGGGTTTACTTGGCAAAGGTAACTTGGTGGATGGGTGTTTGAAAAGTGTCCCATATGTGGCAGTCTGCATACAACCTCAACTAATAGGGCCCTGAAGCTTCAGCTTTCCCCTTGCTGCCTGAAATGGGTCACTCATCCTGCTGGTGCTCCTCTCCATACTTGCTTTTTGAGTCCTACCTGCTGAGCAAGGACCCAGCCCTTCTACCAGCTCTGACTTTTTTTATTTATATTTTGGGGAAAAATGTATTCCAGGTCAAATTAGCCAGATCAGTTCTAAATCCTTTCAGTTAAGCAAAACTCAATCATTCAAACGCCGTATGTGGCTCTATAATTAGCTAGTATCCTCCACCCCAGACTTTTCAGCCTTGGGCTTCATATACTCCCAAATCCAATGGCAGGCATCCTACGTGCAAACCTAAGCCCAGAGGTTTAGGGCTTGGATGCTCCCGAGTCTCAGCTACCCTCAGCCGAACAGCTGCAGGAGCAAGCTAGGGAAGAGTCTCCCATTTTCATAAAGTCGGCATGTAATCGAGACCCTCCCACTGGGAAGCTGGCCAGTGGGAAGCTAGTTACAACAGCGTAGGGCAACCTGTCTGCAGTGCATTTGGACAGGGGTGCACCCTCCACTACACAATTCCATTTAAATCTATCTCTGCTCAAGTCCTTTTCTTTTTGGAAAAAAAAAAAAAAGCTTGTGTGTGTGTGTGTGTATAAATAACTGTACCTTCAACACTCTGCCAAGCAGCCCCTGTGTCTCACTTGGCAGATCAAAGCACACTTTGACAGTTAAATCATTAAAAACCCGTTGCACAGTTCACAGCACATACCCACGTACCTATCTCTATACCCATACCCCAACCCACTGCTCTCCCCAGAGGGCCTGCCCATGTAAAAGTCTATGCCAGACCCCCCTCCACCAGATGAGGTCTGCCATTTCTTTTCTGTTGTCCTTTTGTCTTCCTGTAGTACCAGTACATCTTGGCTCGGGTACCAGACCAGTGTAGTGACTACACTTGAGCTTAGCTCGCAGCCCTGACTCTGCCTGGAACTGAGTGCTGCA